TATCATTAGACCAACTTGTTTACTCCGATCCGAGTCCGTGATCTGTGTCGCGATGTTGACTTTATTGCGTCGACATAATTCGCGATGCCTCCACCTCCGACCTCGCTATTGCTACGTGTCGCTTTAACATTGATTCTAAACTGTATCCAACTTATGCACAGTGAATACGGAATTAACTTGAAGACTTCCATTAAGTCGAAGAGATTTAAATGATTTGTCACTTATTAAATAAAACAATAATAAAATTTATCCTAAATATATATTTAATTGACACGCAAAAACTTCAGGCAAAATAAAACAAGAACACGTTATTTTAAGCTCCTTTGAGAATAAGCTCCAGGGTCCTTGCAAATTAAGTTTGAGTAGGCGTCAGTTTTCTCAAAAACAAGTCAAATATATTGGAATCTTTATATGTGCCTTTGAGTATCATTGCCTTAGTGAAAACGCATCTTCGCAGTTCCACCGCAATACTGTAGTAGGTTTATTTTTATAAAAACAGGTAGCATATTCTTTGGTAATAAATATTAAATTTATGTAGATATTTATTTGGAGCACAACAATATGAATCCAAGTTCATTTTTAGAAAAGACGCATGGTTCAGTGAACAATTTATTTGGGTCACTGTTCTCACGTCCATGTCTATATTAGGATCAAAATTATAAACAGTAATATCTTTCCCGAGACTTGTATATTTATTGTAAAATGCGGTGTAAACCCACACCCATAACTAACGTCCTTCTTGTTGAGATCCCTCCTCATATGGCCATACTATGCTAACCCAACTTGCGTTCTCTACCATGAAAATAAATTGGCCATACTACGAGATTGTTTATTTAATGTTACTTTATACTAGCTGTTCCCATGCGACTTCATCCGCATGAAAATATAAAAATTTAATTTTATTGTTCACATTTGTCAAATTATCACTAGCAAATGTCAAAATGACATATGATGTCAAACCATGGCAAAGCTTCCTTGATGTTGGCAACAACTTATGGTTTCTTTCCCACATTAGGGTTTTTATCCAAAATATTTACCCCTAAGTTTAATGGTGTGATATTATATAGCCTAAAGCGTGACGTAAGTGTAGGGCTTTTTATTAAAAAAAGAGTTATTCAAAAATATGCTGTGATTGCTGACACACGTAGGCAACAAAGAAGTGTGTGTTTACGTTTCATTATATTAGTATATAGATATAAAAAAATATAAGATACTCTTTTATGCGCAGTATAAAGATGCTCTAAAATAATCAATCTACCGATAAATGTGTTACCGTTGAAAGGTATCATTTTCTTTAATATGTTTGCACGGACACGCTTATTGGAGTGCTTTCTTGTTCATAGTAACTACGTGCTGAGAATACTAAAATTAGGTAAAGTTTTATAAGTACTATAAGCACTAATTTTTAATTAAAAACTAACAATAGAAATTTGGTTTGTAATATTCATAAAACTCGATTATTTAAATAGGCGGGAAAATGTTACCCTCTTGATTCTATGATTCATGTAATATATTTTATTTGACCTTTTAAAGGCGATAATAATTGCCGCCATGAAGATCCTTGTTAAAAGTACGCCATCGACTAGGCACAATCAGCCAAAAAATTTAGCCATGGGTTTTTTTTTTCTAAAGATAATTCATACAAACACCTTATATTTACAATAACTTTTATTTACAATATTTAGAAATATTCACTCCATTGTGTTAAGTAACAAGAAGTCGGTCAAAAAGAAACAGAAAATATTTTCGTTTAACAAAATACTAGATTTAAACAAAGCGCCATCTACATTGCTGCATACAATAGAGTGACACACTTTATGACTGGAGTTAGACATTTATTCAACAGATGGCGCTATATCACAATTACATAAAATAAAATACAGACTATTAATTTAACAAAGTATTAACATGCTATAAAACATTAATTCTGAACTAATATATTCTTAACACTAATATACACAGAAAACGGTAAAACCTAATTCACTGTGTGATAATAGCGGTACTTTCTTTTAAACATTCAATCATATAAATTATCTTTTTAAATCTCATGGTTATTGGGTTGGGTTGGATATTACATAAGTAAATATCTAAGATTTCTGATTATCTTCTGTTTTCTTGTCAAATGGAAATTCTTGTTTATATCTTTGCACACCGAGTGTTACAAATGCTGAAAAAATAACACATAATTAAGAAACTCCTTTTTCATCTATTTTTAAATAGACAGACAAATTAACATTAGATTTGAACAAAATATTTTTTTTAGTTTAATAAATAATTAGCGGACACACATAACTTGAAAATTTGAAAATATGCGTTAGTTGGTCCAAATTTAACAATTACCTTCCCTTATAACTTATACAAATGCAGTGTTTATCATATCAAACATTACATATCGACAAAATATGCTATATTTTTACAATATTTTGAGTTTTAGTAACCTATCTATGTTGAAATGTATAGTGGCACGTAATCATTGTCTAGGCTATATTATAGAATATTACCTAGTGATATCGTAGAGAATGTTAATGTCCCAAAAAATGATTTATTCTTCCAGGCTACATTTGCGAGGTAAGCTCCAATTCCAACGAGACCGGCAGCTCCGACTATCCTACATCCCAAACAATCCCGGGGACGACTGCTAACTGTTGATGTCATGGTTAGATTGACTTTGTATGCTTATTTCTTAAATCTTCTTCACTTTTAATGATATACAGTCACTGTAAATTATTTCACGTCTTGAATCTTAAGTATCAGCAAAATGTAAATAAAATAACCTCATTTCAAATGTAAACGTCAAAGTCAAATGGTATCCATGTTTTTCAGAAAAAAGGCAGAAGTTCTATAAACATACAGCCAACATTTTAAACAGTGCGTTTATTTTTTAAAATGTTTTGTTTATTTTTAGACTTATTGCCAAGTGATGTTAGAACATAAGCAAGTTTTTTTGTATACAACCAAAATCGTTCACAATTTCGCTATAGAATCATTTTGTCGGGACCGCTATAGAATAATTACCGAAGTATATGCGACTGAAACAAAGACTGTATAAATTGTTAGTTCCCTGAATGGGTTAGTATTATGTATCGTCTAGGTATTTTGAGGACGTAAGCTTTTTACTCATATTCTATTTCACATATCTTGACCTATTTTCTAAGAACACTCATGATATTGTTGTGAATAAGTCTTGTCTTGACAAACAATAGACGGTGTGCTCCATTCGTGATGAAGTATCATCAGGGATGTGAGATGTTTTGAGGAATAGGAATCAGCTTAAAAACATTTTCTCCTAAGCATCTGTAAATTGTATAATAGTTTTAAAATGCAGCAATTTTATTTCTTCAACTACAATGTCACAATAACAAAACTCACGTCAGTAGCCCAAATACGTAGGTTAAGACTAATGATCTCCTTTTGGCGCATTCCTGGCACAGATGGTATATTTCTTCAGCGTTATCCTTATATCGCCTTTCTCTACCACTATTAAATATAGTGTTAGTAAAAATTGCTTGATTTAAGTTTCAAGGGAAATCCCCTAGTTTTGATAATAATATAAACGGTCAATAGTTATTGACACACGCACATTGGTACTGCATCAGCATCCGTTATCTAACTATGACTAAGGTGACGTATTTTCGTCGTTTTAATAAAAATAGTTTTGGATGACCAACGGGGAAATACTTTGCATAAAAGTACCGTCTGCGGGTATTTTCTTCGACTTTGTTCGTTGTTTCTGAATGGAGATGATTTAATAATTTCATCGGCTTTAATTGTTAGTATTCATTATTCTACACCCTCTATTAGTATAAAAAAGGGGGTTCAAAAATTATTATTAGTCTTTGAATAGTTAAAAAAGTCAATAAGATTCAGAAGATTATCCGCTGAGAAAGGAAGAAATAGGTCTTAATGGAAGTATGACGACAATAGTGTAAGTAAGACACAGTAGTGTAAGAAAGACAGTAGTGTAAAGGAACAGTGTAAGAATGACGACAATATCCTGGATCCTTTGGATTAAGGACTGAAATTTGATAAAAATGAATAACAGCGTAAAAAAACAAGAATAAGTGCTGACTACAAAATTGTATCTCTCACACTGTCAACAATGGATGATCGTGGCGCGGCAGTCTCGAACTGACAGCCGCAGACTACGGATCAGTTAGGTCATTAGGGCTGTGCATGATAGTAATGCGCGCGAAAAAAAGTTTTGTTTGCAAACGAAATTTTTAAACGAAGTAATGTGTCAGATGTCAATTTTGGCGGGAATTACCGTTTTAAATGATTATTTATAAGATTTTTTGTGTGATACGAAGTGAAATTTTTATTTTGTAAATAAAATATGTGTTTGGTTAGTTTAGTTTATTTGCAGTAAGAAATATATGCGTGATAAAGTCTATTTACTAAGCGATAACGTGTTTTAATTAAGTGTTTCGGTGAGTGTTTAATTGTATTTATATTTTGATAAGGAAAGTGCATTTTTATCTACTTCTGTACTTTAATTTATTTTTAATTTGAAGTATTGGAGCACGGATACATACGTCTCTAGGCCAAGGGTACCGTGTGACAGTTTCAAATAGAACGGAAGAAGTGTCACTCACCTATCAATTATTTGTTCTACCGATGTTTTTTTACCTACGAAATTATAATACGTCGACGTTGTATGAATCATTGTACTAACGACGGAGTTTGCTAGCGACCTGGGTTCGATTCTCGTTTTCTAACAATCAATTATAATTGTTCAGTTTTTCGTATGTGTGTGATAGATTTATCATCTCAAATACGCTGAAACAAATTAGATTTTGGTTTGTTTTTCTGCGAATAATGAGTTTAAATAGATTTTCCAGTAATAAAAACAAAACTTGCATCGATTTTTTTCGTAAATACGGATTGTGGATGATCTACCTTCATCTGAAATTACTAAGTAACATTTACATTTAAAGTTACAGATTTATGCAATAACGTTCCAATACATTACGTCATTATATACCTTTATAAGAAGAAACAGGTCAAGAATATCATCATAAGAATACAGCTAGAGAACAATAATTATACCACGTAGTCTGCTAAAAGGATTTCCACTACCGCTACTTACGCTATTTTAGAAGCTCTTTATACCCTGCACTAGATTTACTCGCCCGCGACTGCCATAGAATTACCAATTGCCCTCTAGAGTCGCACTTCAGTTTGAGGAAAAGGGACCTTAAATCGACTTTGTCTCCATATAATACTCCTTTGTTATTCCAGCAACAGTACAAATGGTGATTACACGTAGTGACAGAAAGTCGTAATACTCTGAACAATGCTGTCGTGGTCATTGGATCAATTGTTTGCCTTTAATTATTCTGTAATTGTTGTTTTTTTTTTTCTATAAAACTAGCTGTTCCCTTGCGGCTCCATCCACATGAAATTGTGAAATTTTATTTTATTGTTTACATTTGTCAAATTATCAATATCAAATGTCAAACTGACATGACATGACAAACCTTGGCAATCTTGTTTCCTTGATGTTGGTAGCTACTTATGGTCTCTTTCCCACATTAGGGTTATCCAAATCAATTACCCCCTAAGTTTAATGGCGTGAAAATATATAGCCTAAAACGTGACTTAAGTCTAGGGCTTTTTATTAAAAAAAAATATATATTCAAAAATATGTTGTAATTACTGACATCTTAGTCAATAAGAATTGTGTGTTTACGCTTTATTATTTAGTATAGATTATATTGGACTGCTAGAATGACTTTTTACAGACGTTCCAGTTCTGTTAAGTTGAGAATATTTACTGAGTCGTCATCTATTTATCTTAAACTAAGGTTATTGTGACTAAAGAGATAGAAATATTGCTAGTGTGTTCTTTTGGATATAGTTGAGGTTTTCATAGTTTTGACTTGAAGATCGACTCTATTTAATTATCACCGTTGCTATCCATCCAATACAATATCAGATGTCGATAAATCTTGATAAGTAGTTATGTAGGTCGATATCGCTGGTCAATACTTCCAATTAAATTTGTAATTATTCACAAATAACCTATTTCTTTGGTCTAACTAAATCACAGAGAATTTGTTGCGATTATATTTATTATTTTCTATATACGTAGATATGCTATTTAAAATTTATTTAAAATTTAGCTCTACGTAATACATATTAATCGAAAAGTTATCCTCTACTTATCTTTTCTCCGAAATAACAAGAAAAAAATGGAATAAAACCATGAGAATAGTGTCGCAATCTTAATTTTAAAATTAGAAGATTCAGATTGTTCAAATTTGACATCATATTAGGGAAGTTCTTAGCTACTAAATACAGTCCGAGTTAAGTTAAATAGTTACGAGCCAAGGTAAAGCCGACTGTATACTTAGTGTGCAATAAAATATTTAATTTTTCATTTCAAAACTTGATAAAACGCTATAATTATAGTGTTTATCTGAAATCTAGAATTATTTAATATATCTAGTAATGGACTTAGTTATTGCATGTTATAACTTATGTAACGTTAAAGTAAAAACATTTATCTTTGTCTCCTTGTACAGTACATTGTTGTGGCAAGTTGATACAACTGTTTTTACGTCTGAAGAAATCTACATAAACTAATGTTTAATTTTGTCTCTATTTATGTGGCCGTTATGGGTTTGTGTGGGAACATTTATTAATTAGGCTTCGAAAAACTATTTTTCGTGATTAATAAGATAGTAGTTCTCATGTGTATGTTCATGCTATTGTTTCTTTTTTGTAGTTTAATGGCTTTTGATACGCTTGTCATTTGTTCATGTTCTTCCCCCGAATATCACAGGCCAGTCAAATTGAACGTTCTATTCTCTGCTGGGGTTTATCTTAAGCTGGTTTGAAACGATTTTTATGTCGAAGTCAAGACTATTTTATTTGAAGTAACAAGTCATAGTGTAGCTATGACTCAGTGGTTAGAGAATGAAGATTGTTTAGCAAAATTAGTGTTACTAATTATTGTTTAAATACCATAGAGTGTAAACGACAATAACGTCTAATTGTTGTGTAAAGGGGACACATTTCATACAATAAGTATTTAACGGTTTTGACCTGTGCTACATATGTTAAAGGTTCAATGACCCTAATATAAATCATCAACAAATTTTGAATACTTAAGATTTTATACGGAGTTTAAAAGCATACCAAATAACGCGTAAACTACGACAATTAAAACATAAACGAGATTGCTAATTGTATTGTATTCTGAAGATTGTAAACCTCATTTTGTTTTAATAACAATAGAGAATCTTTAATAGTGAATTATTAATTGTTAACTAAACATTGCATTTGATTCAAAGTTGTATATAAAAGTATCGGTCACGTGCTAAAGATGCTGTTTATTCAATAGATTCTTCATCACTTTTTGTCTCATGCATTGCTTTAACAAAAGAACAATACTTCAAGACAATTGAATACTATGATAATTCCTACCTAATTAGTCATTCTATCCTCTATTAACTAGCCATCTAGTGTCAAGTACTGTACTTTGATTTTTATAATGTAATGATAACAATTTTTGTAATGCGATTCTTTGGTTCATACACATGTCTAAGGAAGGATACTCGTAAAATGACAAGCATTTTGCATTCGACTCTATACGTTTGTCAGTACATAGATAATGCTTCATACTAGTATCTGATACTTGATAATCTTTTTATTTCAATAAATGCGAAAGTTGCATGTTAGAATTTGTAGATTAAAGGGCTGAACGGATATCTATGAAATTTGGCATAGACGTGGAGGATAATCTGGAAGAACACATAGGCTTCTCACTTTTTTTTTATTTAAATTCCACCCGGACGGAGTCGCGGGCAACCCCTAGTATAAATTAAATTAGTAACAGCTTGAAAATATTATTTTATCTGAATATGGAACAAAGTCAAAATTGTTACGAGTAATTTTATATTCTCAGATTTACGGTCTTGTGGTTTGCGAAAGAGGGACCATAAACTTGATGTATCGCTGAGGAAAATGATGCTGTAATAGTGTGTCTTACCGTGTTCATTGCCGAAAACATTTGTACGAAAACATATATTGATTGTTTTTTGAAATGTTAACAATAGGTAAGTGTAAATAAATTGTCAACAATGAATATGATTACTTAACTTAGCGTAGGATCAGGTTTAAGTTGTTAATTTTGTTTTCTTTACTGTGTGTCTTAGTGCCAATTATGAAATAAAAAATGCTTTTGTCTACAGACAGACAGGAGTGTTATATTTTTTCGTATATATCCCTCTCGTTTTCGAACCGTGAATTAGTTGACTGAACGTCTTGACCAATTTTACAAAATTCTTCTTCCTGATTGTCAGCCAGACTTTACTTATAATTTGGTACATATACAAATATCTAATACATCTCCCGCCTTGGTAATGAATTCTCCTACTGTCGCTGTCAGTTCGCGCCAGTACACCAACAACAGTCCTCGACAACGCACCACTCGAGCCGCGTTGCCACATTGTTTACGAACAACGTTTTTTGTTTATAAAAATGAACGAACCGATTTACACCATACGCACCGTTATCAGGAATCGTATGAAGTGGTGAAAAAAAGTTTTTTATGTAAATGTTTTCGACCAGTCCTTCGAAGTTTAAACTAAGGTTGGAAAAGTGTTAACGTGCAATTGTAATAAGTGCAAATGACAATATTTGTAAATGTTGTGTGATTAATTAACTAATGTAAGTGTTTTTACGGGTTTTTAATTATTATTTTTAAAATTACAATAACTTTCCATTGCCCTTGGCATTGGAGAGTTATTGTAATTTATTTTTAATAAAGATTTTTTTCCGGATTGAAAATGCGTTAACGTTACCTTTACCGTGGAAAATACTTGAGATTGCTTTAAATTTATTTTGCTTTGGTTGCAAATTGAAATTAAAAATACGGTAACTAAGTAAGAGTTAACAAGTATAAGTTAAATACATTATTTAGTTACATAGTCGAAAATGCGTAGTAAAGACGTTAAGGGCTGTGTGGTCAAAGATCTTCGTTGTTTAATGAACTAGGTCAGTCTCGAACCGGTATGTTAACATTTGAGCAGTAATTACTAGGTTTTTACGCAAAGATACTATTTACAAGAATTCCTAATTGTCTATACTAGAATTATAAAGAGGAAAACTTTGTTTTCTTTATGAGTAGTTTTTTTATGAGTTTTCTTTTTGAGCCTATGCTCATAAACTACTGGGGCGATTTTAAAAATTCTTTCACCATTAGAAAGGTTATTTATCTGTGAGTAACATAAGCTATATTTTTGCATTTTTCATTATTAATTTTAAATTTCACGTGGTCGGAGTCGCGAGCAACAGCTAGTTTTAAATGTAATTGGAGATATGAAGGATAAGATTTTCAATCTGATAAGCATAAAGAGGTAGGAAGGCAGCGGCAAGTGGGTAAGTACTTTGTATTAAATTTTCCCAAATACAAAAAAAAAAA